AAATGCCTGCAACATAAGAAATACTCTACCAGTTCCGTATCCTAAAAAATATCTAGGTGGGATGACAAAATATCACGAGCCAATTGAGCAATGACGAGGGAATAATTTGTCAAGGTGTTAGGACATTAGCCATATGTTGGATAAGATTAGGCTGATGATAAAATTTGGTTCTATATCATACATTACATTTGTTTTAGAATCATATAAATTTATTACACGAATATGGTTCTTAATTATCTAAAGAATGTAGCAGGGCGGCTGTAGACTACAATTAAAACGAAAGAAAACGTAAAGCAGAACCCCCCAAAATTGTAAATGGCGGCTTCATATGATTATAGTTACAGAGAAGCGAAAAATTAGAATGTATGTTGTGTGTATAATTGATAAGAAACACACTGCGATAGATACGACTGCTGTCATCTTATGTGAAAAGTGTTTAAGCCCAATAATTGAAACGAGTTGGACGACTACCAATTATGAGAAATTCAGGGAAGAAACGTGCATCTTGCTAGGCTTAAAATGCATGCCAAATGAAAAGAAAAAAAAAGTGAGGTCCAGCGAAATCCAAGAAAAAAATCATTGGACGCGGCAGCCAATATGGTTATATATATATATATATATATATAGGCCTATATTTATATATGCAGCAAACAAGACACAGCGAAGAACATGAACACCGCAAGACTATTAATTAGCCACTGTAGCCATTGCAGTTTATGACTGCTGGTTGACTGTTACCATGCAATACCTCATTAAATATGCATATACATGCAACCGTTCGAATAAAACTGCTTGAATATTTATATACGCACTTATCTAAACGTTTCACCGGACGACTGTGCTGGTTAAAATCGATTATATGCCACTCGTCGTCACAGTACATCAAAACAACCGTTACTATATTCGTTATTGAAGGTTTCCACGTAGAACTGCACTTTAGTATGTTTGTTATTCATCGCACTTGTTTGTTGGTAGAAGAAAACCTGGCTTCGTGACGTTAACCCCATAAAAACCAGTTCGATCATTAACCTATATCCGCCGAAAAACTGCGCACTCACTGCTGTTGCCGCTGCCATATCATTACCAATTATGATGATGATGTTGCTATCATTGCTAGAGATCCGCACTGCTTCAGATGATAGCTTGGGGATATTAGCAGTGATTGATAGCTAGGCTATTATAACTACTGCTGTTGCCGCCGCCGCCGCCAGCGCCACCGCCACCGCCACCGCTACCGCCACCGCCGCCGCCGCCGTCATCGCCACCGCCACCGCCACCTTCATCGCCACCGCCAATCCGCCACCGCCACCGCCGTCATCGCCACCTCCAATCGACCACCGCCACCGCCACCGCCACCGCCACCGCCACCGCCACCGTCACCGCCACTGCCAATACTGCCACTCTTATTGCTGGTGCTAGTGTTAGTGCTAGTGCTACTGCTTCTACTACGGCTTCTATTGCTGTACGATCGTTCTCAACTTTCTCCGCGCACTTTTCAATCCAGCTCACGAGCTTCGTTAGCTCTCTCTGTAAACGCGAGTATGAGACCGAAAGTAAAGTTGAAGCTGAACGAATGAATGACTAACAAAATATAGAAGCATAATAAACGACGATAACGAGACCAATTCTCGCGGGATGTAGAAATTTCGTCCCGGTTGATTATACAAAAGAACGTATTTACAAAAAAATGTTTAATCTACACCCAACCCGTGCACAGCTTCAATTCAATTTGCGCAGATCCGCGAGATGTGCCTTGAATTTGAGATTTATTTGTAAACATCCCCCGTTTCCTAAAAACCTAAGCGTTCGCGCTGTGCAGAGCCATATAAGCCGTGTTCTAGCCGCGCGTTCTCCCAAAATTACATCGCTGACCCCACGCCTGCTTGTGTATGCCTACGTACACCGCGGAGATTTACATGCGTATAGGCCCTATGTACTTCTTACAAACACAGAATAAACGACGCACGCGATGACCTTAAAAAGTTCGGTTGCTGGATGGTTCTCGTCCATTATTTGTTACTACATAAGCACAGTTGCTAAATATACCCATAATTACAGTTGCATTCCTAAAAATTAACCCGAATTGGTCCAACGCGGGCGCTTTATCGTGTTCTTCGACCCAATATATCGACGTGCGATGCGCTGACAGGCATCTAACAGCCTCGAATTTCGACCCTAATTTCGCAGAGCTTAGATAGCATGGTTCGGTGAGCTCACGCCTGACCTTGGCTCCACGCCGCCGGTGTCTTCCCATTTTGCCATTTTCCCACTTCGCCATTCCCATTTCGCCATTCCCATTTCGCCAAAGTGTCCGCATTTTCGCCATCTTTCCACTTCGCCATTTTCCCATTTCGCCATTTCCCATCTCGCCATTTTCCCACTGCGCCAGTTTCCCATTGCGCAATATTTTATGTTTGCTTCCACCTCGCTGCACGAAATTGATCTTCCATCTTAAAGAGAGTTCATTTCTAGGGCTTAGGCGGTTAGCGGTTGAGCGGTTAGAGTTAGCGGCTAGGGGTTAGCGCGTTAGCGTTAGGCGTTATAGGGGCCTGTACATGATCGATATGCTTTTGATATATCGATTTCGCTTCTTGTTACTTCAAGATAAATAGTATGACTCCCATACTCTAAAGATGTGTTATAAATTTATTCATTACAGAGCGCCTACTTTTAACCCACCCTCGAACAAGGGGTAGTCGGAAGATTAGGTACGAAATGTCCGGAATGTCGGAAACTGGCGGAAACGGAAAACTGGCGAAATGGAAACTGCCGTGAATGGAGGAAAACTGGCGAATGGGAAAAATGCCCGAAGTGGGACAATTCATTTAATGGCGACAATGACGCAAATGGCGAAGTGGAAAATGGCGAATGAATAAACCACGCCGCTGAGCATGAGCCGCCTGCGAGCACGGCCTTCGCGAACGCCGAGATCGTTTGATGCCTCTCCAGCTGTAAGCATCGAACGACATCATGCGATGGTTTGCGTTGCGTGGGAAGTCGACTGCCGAGTGCGGAAACAAGCACTCAGCCTCTACGAACATCAGAGAAGCCTGCAGCCGATGAACCAGTACGCATGCAGGCTCACACCGCAGTCCTTTTTGCGTACATCGCCTTTTTTTCGGGAGCCCTTTCTTAAAGGACCGGAATCCTCATTCCGCCGTAACTTAGTTTGTTAGTTTTGATTTTTTCGAGCGATATGAATGGAGCGGTATTGATAAAGCAAACACGAGCTCGTGTTACATCGACTGCTAGCACAAAAAGTTAGTAAATCCGACGAGAGAAAGCCGAGTAATAGGCCAACGCCACCTGTCAGGCGATTCGAGAAAAGCAAATACGTCATAAGAGCCCCAGACCAACGCGGTGCGCTTCCGCCAGGCTATTTGTTTAATCGATGGTTTCGGTTTACGTTTTTTAGTTTCGCGGGCTGAGAGCATCGGCCGTTGGAGTTTCCATAAGATCAAGCGCGCATTGAAAATACACTGCACGCAAGCCGTACGCATGCCACGGCACGTACACGTTACCACTACACGCACGCGCAAACGCCACACGCAGAGAGAGAGAGAGGCAGGAAGAGACCGATGCAGAGACAGAGACAGACAGACATGAGAGAGATAAGGGGCAGAGAGAGAGAGAGAGACGAGAGCATGGGAGAGGGGGAGAGGAGAGAGAGAGAGAGAGTAGAGAGAAAGAGAGGAGTGAGGAGAAGAAGAGAGAGAGAGGACGGAAGAGAGCAAGACGAGGAGATTGAGAGGGAGAGAGAGAGACGAGAAGGAGGAGAGGAGAGAGAGAGAGAGAGAGAGAGAGAGATGGGAAGGGAATGAGACACGGAGTCAGAAACAGAGAAAGTTGGATGGATAGATGAATGGAGATATTAAGCGATAAAGAGAAATAACGCAAGAGGCAAAGGCAGAGACAGAGACTGAGACAGACTTAGAGACAGCTAGAGACAGAAACCGACAGAGAGAGAGAGAGAGAGAGAGAGAGAGAAGAGAGAGAGATGAAGGGAGAGAGAGAGAGAGAGAAGAGAGGAGAGAGAGACGCAGAGGAGACGAGACCATGAGAACGAGAGGCAGAGAGAGAAGGAGAGACAGACAGACGACCTGAGCGACCGACCGACCGCAACCGACCGACAGACAGACAGACAGGACAGACAGACAGACAGAAGACAAACAGACAGACAGGACAGACAAAGCAGCGAGACAGACAGACAGACGACAGACAGACAGACAGACAGACAGACAAGGAACAGACAGGACAGACAGACAGACATACAGACAACAGCAGACAGAGACGAGCGCCAGAGATCGACAGCATACAGCTTACAATACCAGACAGTGGGTGTGCGTGAGAATGCTTATGGGGGAGAACAAGTGAAATTGTTGTTTTCCAGATAACGACAGAGAGAGAGAGAGAGAGAGAGAGAGAAAGAAAGAGAGAGGAGAGAGCGAGTGAAAGAGAGAAAAAGAGAGATGTTGTGAGTGGACATCGAGACCATAGAGATTACAATAGCAGATGGTGGGTGTGCGAATGCTTGTCGGGGAGAATCAGTGAAATTTTTATTTCTACAGCAACATTTGTGTAATCCATTCTCGCAACAAATCTCGCGTTCACAATGTAGATGCCAGCATTATGGTTGCTACTTTTTTATTTCATCGGTTCAAAGCTTGTGTTTCAATGCTTTCACAATGTCCAAACTATGAAAGCATTGACGTTTTCCTTCTCAGTAGTCACCATACGTTGACAGATTTCCTGCACATAAGTCTACACGTACGAAAACATACAATGCGCATTTGCCACTCAGAAAATTACCTCGTGCATGTGAAATACTTCGCACGATATTAATTTATTTAAGACAGCAGAATGTGAAAGGTTTGGCCGGCAGTGTAAGTACTCCACGTGGGTAAAATCTTATAAAAGCAAGTAACTGCCTTATTTCAAAGTCATGCGAGTAAGCGAACGCGATAAACTAGGCGATATGAAGCGTAAAAACGTGTGCTTACTGGTTGATGTATTTAGCTTCACTGTTTCAGCAGGCGGGTGAACTGAAGCCAAATGATGAACTCCTCTGTCAGGGACTACTGTGTGAAAGGTTAGAAAACAAATTAATTTCAAAACAATAAACAAACATAACATAATGCAATCAAACATGAATTAAAATGACAAATAATAAGCTTCCTAAAAATAATTTCTAATTGCAAAACGGATGAAATGATATTTATAACACAATATTAAAAAATCGGGAAACAACAACGGTATTTCTTTGTGGTGATTATGTTGGAACCAATGACTGAAAGGAATGTTAGAATAAAATAGCTACGATTTCCGTGATTGCACGTGATACCATATTTTCTTTTTGAATGTTCGTGTGTATGCAACCTCATTTCGCTGAGCAAAATAGTATCAATACACTACATGTATTATTATATTATAATTATACAGTGCAACTAATAATATTATGCAGTCACGAGTACGAAACGTCATGCCCGTGCCTTGTCTGTCCCAGTCAAGCTATTTAAATACCTTTCAAATTAATTGCATGTAATGCATATTATCTAATGCCTGTGCCTGTCATCCATGTTTTGGATTTGTCTCCTGTTTCTGCCTACTTTTTACTCATTCAGTTCCCCAATCTGCTGCGTGACACTCTACTGATATACTTAATTAACATGCAGGCTTACTCGAATATGAGCAGATCAATTTCTCGAGTTTCACCGATATCCTTCAACGTTTCTCACACATCCTTAGCGGGGTCTCAAGACAAGCATGCTAAGGTTAGTGGAAATCATAATTAATCACGTTCCGGAACGTTAACATTAATAAACTCATAGTAGTTCTTAGAGGTGGTGCGTGGTGGATCGGAGGAAGAGAATAATGAGAGATCGGAGGAGACAAGTTGGAGCTGGCAATCACAAAAGAAGACATGGAGGAGATGAGTCACTCGATCAGCGTTGACGATGCACGAGTTAACGCATTGACGCGCCCACGTCATTCGCGCATTTATCGCGTCGCGAACATTTTAGAACTATCATGGCAGCAGTGCTGAAATCTGTGACGACAACCAGTGAACACCCAGCGAAAACCAATGCGCTAAAAGGGTACCGGAAGATATCACACTGGATTGGAAATTACTCGCAAGGAACCTGTTGGATATACATATACTAATACATATTTGCGATACATACATACATACATACATACATACATACATACATACATACATACATACACACACACACACACATACATACATACATACATACATACATACATACACACACACACACACACACACACACACACACACATTAGGGTTAGGGTTAGGGCTAGGGTTAGGGTTAGAGTTAGGGTTATAGGGTGCCTGTACATGATCCATATGTTTTGATATATACGATTTCGCCTTCTTGTTCTTCAAATAAATAGTTGACTCCATATCTAAAGATTTGTTATAATTTATTCATTACAGAGGCCTACTTTTAATCCACCTCGAACAAGGGGGTAGTCGGGAAGATAGGACGAAATGGCGGAATGGGAAACTGGCGAAACGGAAAACTGGCGAAATGGGAAAATGGCGAAGTGGGAAATGGCGAAACGGGAAATGGCGAAATGGGAAATGGCGAAGTGGGAATTTTTAATGGCGAAATGGCAAATGGCGAAGTGGGAATTTTTAATGGCGAAATGGCAAATGGCGAAGTGGGAAAATGGCGAAATGGGAATAAACCACGCCGCTAGCATGAGCCGCCGCGAACGGCCGCGAACGCCGAGACATCGTTTGATGTCTCCAGCTGTAGATCGAACGACATCATGCCGATGGTTTGCGCTGCGTGGGAAGTCGACTGCGAGTGCGAAACAAGCACTCAGCCTTACGAAATCAGAAAGCTGCAGGCGAGACCAGTTACGCATGCATGCTCAACCCGCAGTCCTTTTTGCGTCATCCGCCTTTTTTCGGGAGCCCTTTCTTAAAGGACCAGAATTCTCATTCGCGGTTAACTTATTTTGTTAGTTTTGATTTTTGAGCGTATGATGGAGCGTATGATAAAGCAAACACGAGTCGTGTTACACGACTCGTAGCACAAAAAGTTAAGTAAATCGACGGAGAGAAAGCCGAGTAATAGCAACGCCACCTGTCAGGGATTCGAGAAAAGAAATACGTCATAAGAGCCAGCTCAACGCGTGCGCTCGCCAGGCTATTTGTTTAATCCGATGGTTTCGTTTACGTTTTTAGTTTCGGGCTGAGAGCATCGGCCGTTGAGTTCCATAATGATCAAGCGGCATGAAAATACACGCACGCAAGCACGTACGCATGCACGCACGTACACGTACACGTACACGCACGCGCACGTACACGCAGAGAGAGAGAGAGCGAGAGAGACCGAGAGAGACAGAGACAGACAGACAGAGAGAGATAAGGGGGCAGAGAGAGAGAGAGAGAGAGAGAGAGAGAGAGAGAGAGAGAGAGAGAGAGAGAGAGAGAGA